ACCCAGGCTGGCCAGGCACCCCAGTGGGGACCCCCACCCTGAAGGGGGTGTGGCCAGCCTGCAAACAGCCATCAGCCCCTCACCCAGGCTAGCCAGGCACCCCAGTAGGGACCCCCACCATGATCTGAGCCACCCTTCAGGGCAAACCAGCTGGCCCCCACCCATGCACCAGGCCTCTATTCTATATAATAAAAGGGTAATATGCAAACTGACCCTAACAGCAGAACGACTGGGAATGACTGGTCACTATTGCACACACTGACCACCAGGGGGCAGATGCTCAATGCAGGAGCTGCCCCCTGGTGATCAGTGCGCTTCCACAGGGGGAGCTCTGCTCAGCCACAAGCCAGGCTGATGGCTGCCAGTACAGCGGTGGTGGTGGGAGCCTCTCCCGCCTCCTCAGCAGCGCTAAGGATGTCCAACTGCAGCTTAGGCCTGCTCCCCGCTAGCAAGTGGACATCCCCTGAGGGCTGCCGGGCTGTCAGAGGGATGTCTGACTGCCAGCTTGGGCCTGATCCCCCAGGGAGTGGGCCTAAGCCAGCATGTGGACATCCTCCGAGGGGTCCCAGACTGCAAGAGGGCATAGGCCAGGCTGAGGGACCCCCCTGAGTGCACAAATTTTTGTGCACTGGGCCTCTAGTTATTAAATAAAATCTCATTTTGCCTTGCAAATATTTCAAATATTCCAAATAAATTTATAGAAAACAGAATAAAGATTCCCACATATACATTCCCATATTTAACAATTTCAATTTTTTCCCATACTTGCCCCTATGAGGTTGAAGTGGTCTCATAGAAGGTAAATATTCTACAAATATTTCAGAAATTGAATATGTACTAGGCTTTAAAATTGATCTCACCCAGATGACGGTTTTTTATCCTATATAATAAAAGCCTAATATACTAAGTGTCCAGTAGTCTGGTCAGCCATTCAACCAATCAAAGTGTAATATGCTAAGGCTGCTTAACCGTTTGTTATGATGTGTACTGATCACCAGGGGGCAGATGCTCTGACCGGTAGGTTAGCTTGCTACTGGGGTCCAGCTGATTGGGACTGAGCGAGATGGGCTGGATGCGCCCTGTAACCCTCCCATGGTCCCCCCGGCTGGCCAACCTCCCACATCCCTCCGTGGCCCCGATCATGCACTGGTGGGGTCCCTCCACCTGGCCTGTGCCCTCTTACAATCTGGGACCCCTCAGGGGATGTTGGAGAGCTGGTTTTGGCCCGATCCCACAGGCCAGGCCGAGGGACCCCACTGGTGCATGAATTCATGCACTAGACCGCTAGTGTTATTATAACTAATAGTATATTGAAAAAATATAATGAATACTTCAGAGCAAATATCTTGGGTTCTCCCTAGCCAACATTAAATTCAGTTTGGCTATATTTAACTTATGACTTAGAAATCCAAAAACATATCCCCTCCCCACTAACTTTACTGGTTAGGACCAAATTCCATTTATTTATCTTACCTTTCAAATTTTACAATTACATGCTCTAGAAAGTAGAAATAATAATGAGGGAGAGGTAGAGGAAGATGGCACCTGCAATTTAGTGAGCACCTTTTATCTATTAGGTGCAATATATAAAATTAGATTGGATCTTTACCCTGACCACACAGGATACCTATTATAACCCCTATTTTGTAAATGATGAAATTAAAGTTCAGAGAATTAAAGTAACTTTCCCAAGATGATGACAACAGCAAAAAATTCCAGCCACTTCAGCAACAGCCAACTCCACTCTCTGGCTCCTCAACTCAGGGAGCCTGCTGCTCTCTGCTTGACTTGCACTGTTCTCAGCTAGGACTCTGCCTCCTCGCACTGCAATTGGGAAAGGGCCTCCAGGCAGAAGGTCAAGAAGAATGTAGGCTCACCTCACTTCTTTTCTTTCTTTTCAGGATAGTCCTTTGTTGTCTGTTATCCAATGCCTAAATTGCTTTCAGTCTGTTTGTGTCTTTCCATCTGAAAGAAGTCTCTTGTAGGCAGCATATGTATGGGTCTTGTCATTTTATCTATTCAACTACCTTGTGCCTTTTGATGTGATCATTTAATCCATTTACATTAAAAGAGATTATATGATAAGTATGCAGTTATTGTCATTTTATTTTTCATATTTTTTATTTTTTTTCTTTCTAAAAAAGTCCCTTTAACATTTCTTATAATACTAACTTGGTGTTGTTGAATTCCTTTAGCTTTTTCTTGTCTGAGAAGCTTTTTTATCTGTCCTTCAATTATAAATGATAGCTTTGCTGGGTAGAGTAATTTTGGTTTGTCTGTTTTTTATTCATTTAAGAGACATAGAATTCAAAACTGTAGTACATTCCATTTTTCAAAGTAGCACAAAATAGAGTATGTATTAAAGTTTAATAGCTGCATGTGGAGTACGCTTTCTAAAACTTCTGGGCCAGGTACAACTAGGAGTGCAACATCATTCACACTCTACAGGTACAAGTAAGAATGTAGCATCATTCACACTCTAAAGGTGTTACAAGGCAAGAAGGAAAATTGTGACATTGCTAATTAGTCACATTTGCAAGTTCATATTTCCCACAGGCTTTTAAAAAACTTTCCATAAATAAAGAGAAAATTTCTTTTTAAATATGTTTATTGTTGATTTTTCGAGTACACGATCAGTAATTGCCATAAGTATCTCTGAAATTTTTGGTTTTTGATAAGTAAGAGTAAAATTTTTTTAAAGGGTGACCAGTGCGAATGTTCTCCTATTTGCTAATGCAAGCCCAGTTTAATCAATGCACACCAAGTGGAAACATACATGCAGGCCTCCTAAGAATTAGGGGTTAGGCTCTGTTGTCAGACTGAGCAACAAATGCAGATAATAAGCAAGAAGGTGTCAGGCAAAATGAGGGCTGAGAAAAGTTCTTGGAAAGTACCCAAAACAAACCCCCCCCCCAAAAAAAGCAAACACCAAAAACTGAGTGGGTTGAATGGCAGCAGTGTTGATTCTGTGGTTTGTTCCTACATCCTGAGCCCACTGTTTCCTGTACATGACACTGAAGACAAGAACTATTCTAAGGTGTAGAGAAAACCTCTTTCTGAAATGTGGCCAAACATTATCATTATTCAAATCACTTTCAGATGCTTCCTAAAATCAACATTACTTTGAAGTGGCAGCAGTAGTAACTATGCAAATTACAGTATTAGTTCACATTAGGTGGCTCTTTATCAGTCCCCACAGTACGTGAGAAACTTCTAAAATACTGTGGCCATCTGCAGTTCAGCTACAGAAGTCTACAGGGCCTTGTGATCCAACCACTTATAATTCCTTTTTCTCCTTTGGTTTTGCCTTTCTGCTCTTATTGAATTTTAAAATTGTTTTTAAAATGTTGTACAATTATTTTATTATATATAGTATTGTAAGCTGATTCAAATCCTTTATAAGAGAAGATGGATTTCACTAATATAATTGTTAGGTAGCTTTATAGATACAATTTCACTTAATTGTCATAACAACCTGGAGAAGTAGACATTAGTATTATTCGTATTCACACACAGGACAACTCTATTCAAAGATATAAAAAACTATCAAGTACCACATACAACAACAAGAAAAGTTTTCTACTGGTTTAAGTATCTTTAGATAAGAGTTATTACTAAATTAACAATTGTGTGAATGAGCTAAAATAAAATACATTTAAATTGTAAAAGGAAAGAGTTAGGCTAGTAGGTAATCTTACCAATAATTACATGTGATTATAAAATATTAGGCAGTTAGAGGAAGATAAAGAATTCCTTTGATGAATTTCCTTACTCTTTCTCCTTTCTTTTAAAAAGAAGATATGAGTAGGGTAAAATTTAGATAAAAATTTTACTTGAAAGTAGAATGGATTAGTTGACCTATATGAGATGAAAATGCTTTGTCAAATCATCTATCACGGACCTTACTAACTGCTTCTGATAACCCACCAGTGTAAGGAGATGGGTTCTGAGCTCCTTTGCGGTCACCGAGCTGTCCTGCCCTTGTCTGTGTTTCTGGGCAAAGAAGTGTCTGAAAACAGCATGAGCCTGGCTATGGAGCATATTAATGAACATGTGAGCCAGGATCAGCACTAATATAATTTTCCAGTCCTTTCTTGTAGAGCACAGGGTCCTTCCTTCCTTATATCTATGTGAACCCAAAGCAGCAGCACTAGCAGTCATGCCTGCAGTGATGGTACTGTGCAGAAAAGCCATAAAATAAAAGAGATGGGTCTTCTTCAAGTTCAGATATGATCATACACAATTCTTAAAGTGATATCACTTATTTACTATGCTGGTTGATCATATCTATCTTGCAATTTCAGCAAAAGGTGCAACATTTCTACACAATTGTTCAAGTACTGAGTTAAAGATGACTAATGCAAAACTGCAATGACATATTCTCTCTGATGTCAGGTCCAAGTCCAGAGCTTGGAGAATAGACTTCCCTTACTGGAGCGAACAACAGATTGTTCTGAAAAGTTTTACCTAAGGATATTAAGGTCTCTGCAGGTAATGGTTGCTTAGCTAAGTCAGGAATGGCTCACCTAGACAGTTCTCCTGTGCTTTTGCAAATTTTCAATATTTCTGTACACTTTGACCTAATGAATGAGAAGGCATCAACAGAAATAGGTCTATTTGTTGGATGTCCAACATGCATTGGGCTTGCATTGAGTATATTTCACTGAAATTACTTAGCTAGCAAGTTGCTCAGCAGGGATTTGAACTCCAGGCTGCCTGATTCCAAGAGCCACGTTCTTGCTCCTACCCTGCAGTTTCCAGGCTTCCTGCTGCCACACAGAGGGCACAAGTGTATATGAAGTCTAAGCACTCCAGAAGATATGCAGAGCTTATTGACCCCCTGAATCCTGGGGGTCGGTTTATAGTCATCTGATTAATTTTATCTGCAGAGGCAGCTCCCTTTAGAACAACTTCTTGGCAACATGCTGGGCAAGCATGGAACATTCTAAGGAACAGAACATCTCTTAATTCTATATTCTGTTTTGGCTTCTTGGACTTACCTGGTGTGAGGAGGGCTCCTCCTTCAGATCTTCATCCAGGTCCACACCAACTCTGTTAAAGAAAACAGAAAACTGGTAATGGCCTTCCTGTAGTTTAGTTGTGTGTTTCTGATCACCTGAACCAAACATAATACAAAATAGAGGTTTGGCAAAAAAAAAATATCCTACCTTCCCCAGAATCAAAAGAACTTCAAATCGACCTATGGCAAATGAGACCTGCACAGCTGGGCCCACATGCAGCGGGTGAGGTGGAGCATCAGGCTGTTCCTTACCATTATCTTTCCCAGGAAAAGCAGGGCCTGAGAACCTGGGAGAGGAGCCCTCAGGAAAAATACCTCTGCAGCCCCAAAACAAGGATCCTGGATGGAGGCCTGCCTTGGTACCACCACAGGACTCACTGACCAAAACTGCTCTGGGATTATGAGAGCCCAAGCTAGAGCAGGCTCCCCAAAGCAGAAAAAACTGCTCCTAAGTTTTAGTTAAAATAAGTTTGTAAGTTTTGCCTGAATAGTTTGAAAACCTCTTTATATGATAATGATTTTGTATTAGAAAGAATAGGAAGATAAGGTAGCTTTCCCTCTAGCCAGATTGATCAAAATGATTGAGAGATGGGAGGCATCACAGCGTGCCTGCTCACACACAGACACACCTGTGTGTAGTACTTCTCACACAGACACACCCGTGTGCAGTACTGCTCACATGGGACATACCGTGTGCAGTACAGCTCCCACACAGACACAGGTATGTGCCCTGTAAAGACAGTTTCTGAGAAACTTCATTTCACACAGCTCAGAGAAGATTCTCAGTGCATATGCCGAGTTATTGAATGCATTCCTAAATTTGCGCTTTGATGGGCATCATGAAAACAAATCCTCCACTTTGGATTTTACATATTTCACGACAGGATTTCCACAGACTAGCTTCTGGTTTGGTACATTTCGAACCTTGTTTTCCCCTGCTGCCAGGTGGAGTTCTGCGGCCAGGTGCTATCTGATACGCTCACTTTGCTTCAATCTGACACGGGTCCTGAAACTCGTGCCTGCACTGGTGTCCGGCAGTGACTCGCTCCACACAGAAGTGACTGTGTGCCACAGGGTCTTATCCCACTAAAGGCAAACTAAATGTATTCCCAATTCAGCTTCCCTATGTGGGCCCTCCTACACCCCACAGCCCTTCAGGGCCTTCTGACCAGAGGAGAAGTCTGATGGAAGGAAGCTGGTGTAGACAGGAACAGTGCTGGACCCCAGCTGTGGCTAAAAATATTCTGTTTGCAAATCTTACAAAAACACAGGACCATGGGAACACAATGCTGGGGCTCTTCCCACACTCTTGGAAGGGCCAGGGCATGTACAGGGCCCTGGAGCTTGGACTTCCCCTGTTCCTGGTGTGTGTGTGGGTGGCCTTGCCAGGTAGGGCAGGGTGGGGACTGTGGGGTGTGAAGCTCAGGACCTCAACTACAAGCTGCACTGGAGCCTTTCCTGTGAGCACTGCAACTTCTGGAGCTGTAGAGTCTTTTCTTTAACTCAGAGCCCTGTAAACACAGGTCACCTTGCCTCAGTCCTCCAGGTGGAGGAGGGGAAGGCAGGGTTAGAAGCCAGCAGGCAGAGGTGGGAGCCTGTGGAAGGAAAGCGGCAACAGTGGACAGGCAGCCATTGAAGTACCTCTGATTCTTGAAAAAAAGAGTGTCCTCTGGGTGTGAAGAGCCCCTTCCCTCTAACCCAGGGATGAAATGAGTAGCTTTTTATCTTACTCTGAACTTTTGGCCTTCAGGTAACTGGAGCCCCTGGAGGTGACTAACCTTGGATCCTCTTGGAGTCCACAGAGCTATTTGATCTATTTCATTGAAGTTGGAGGGAGAGAGGGAAGAGAAAGGGGTGAGGAAGGAGAAAGGTGGAGAGCAGAAAAAGTAAAAGAATGAGGGGAGGAAGGGAAAGTGCAAGGATGAGGGGAAGATTGGGGGAGTAGTGAAGAGAGAAGATGGAGAGGGCAGAAGGAGGTGGAGGGAGGGGAGGGAGAGAGAAGGATAAAGGAGGTGACAAAGGGGAAGAAGAAAAGGAAGGGGTAAAAGAAAGAGTGTGGAGGGGGAATTAAGGTCCAGCCTCCCAAAGTGAGTTCAGGCAGTGACCTTGAGGTGCTATTGGTCTGGTGCTATTGGCCCTCTATGAACAGTAGGGCCCAAGCTGGAGGCACCCAGCCCCCTCTCTAATTTGGCTGGCCCACCTTAGCCCCTCTGGTAGTTCTGAGATCTCTGGCTAATGCTGGTAGTTCCCAGAAGCCTTTGTTGCTGTGGAAGCCTAGATTTCCACCCCCAGGCCCACCCAGGTAGACTATGATTAAACAAGGGTCCTGAAGTTCCCACTGCTGCCTCCGTTTAGGGTCTTTTTCCAGCTCTCTATCTAGAAAACTGGAGAGAATAGGAATCAAATTTCACAAGATACCCAACATTTAACGTTTGAGGCAGTATGTACTAAGGTTTACCCCTAAATGTTCAACTTTTTTCTCAGAAGCAGAGCAGACCTTTCAAGTTTCAATTATTCCAACAGCCAGAAGGAGCTGAGCAATGATGGCAGGCGATTCTGTTTCTTAGTTTTATGTGGGACTTGGTGAAAAGCATCTGGCAGTGAGGAGCAAGGACAGGCCTCTTCCCTCCTTCCATTCCACAAAGGTCAGGGTCTGTTCCTACTCCGGGGCCAGGCCTATAGCCCTTTCTGGCTTGAGGAGAAAAAAGCTCTGTGAGAGTTATCTTCCTCCCAGGGAAGCCTGGTGACCATACAGTAGAGGTTCATGCAAACAGCTGGCAGGTTTGATTAGAAGGATCTGTAAAGGCTCACTGTAATTTAAATGCTATGAAGCAAAGGCACATAAGAACGATGCCTCTTTCACTTGTAATTTGAACTCCTTTGGATAAATGTTGTGCTAAAATTATTCCCTTCCTCCTGCCCCCTTAGACAGAGTGTGGCTGGGTCACTCAGACCTTCGCTGGAAGCATCCATATGGCACTGGTGATACTATGATGATCTCTGAGAGATATATGGACTTCTTTATGCCCACATTAATTGTTCCTGGCTACTAATCTTTTCCTTTTTTAAATTCTTGTATCTGCTGGCAGATTGCCTTATCTTCTGCCTGAAACATTACAGTAAGTTAGCATAGTGTCCCTGTTCCTTACCCCTTTTAGTGTAGTATGGGACTGATGACCTGATAGTCTAATTTAATACATTTTTTCCTTTCAAGTTTATAGTACGTGCTCATATAAACACATATAACAAAATAATAAAATCCAAACATTGTAAAAGGGCTTACAATAAAACACAGTTGTTCTCTGCCCACCCTGCACACACATCCTCAGACCAAGTCTCCACTGGCTCTGAGGGACATTCTCTGCCTTTTCTTCATGGTGATATGTGAACTGTTACCAACATGCTGGGCACATTCACTAGCATCCCCAGGGCTCAGCAAGCATGCCAGCTGCCTCTGCATCCCTTAGTCTCCTGTCCAAGAAAGATAGTCATAATGTGAACATGACATTCTTTTGGGATTAACCCCAAATCCATTCACTTTTACACATAAAGGTCATATATGCACTGTGGGTTCTTGAGAGATTATTAGAAAGATGAGATGGTGTCATCTCAGGTGGTGGTGCCAGTGTGTGTATAGTAGCTCCAAGGTGAGATCACAGGTGTATAAAATGCAGTTCAATCTCCTTAGGTGATGCCCATGGCTCTTTGGTGCCACCCAGCAGTTTAAGCTATCCTTCCTGCTGGTTTGATGTGAGCGCAGTGCCTCAGGGCTGGTAATTGGACTTTTCCTTGTTTCTGAGCCTCAGTACTTGATATAGTCTCTGAGTCCCAGCAAGGCTGGGCCAGAGGAATCTGTCAGTTCCTCTCCCATTGACTGAACACCCTCCCTCCAAGTGGCAGCTGAAATCTCCACTACTGCCCTTCCTCTTCTGATCACCACTGTGGACCATCCATCTTGTTATGTTAGTTCAGATCCCCATCACTTGAGTTTTCACTGGCTTAGACTACAAGTGGCTGTGTGCCTTCACTTCTGATCTCTATTCCCACACCAACCTGTGGCACCTGTGCTTACCCTGTTCTGGCTGTGTTAGCCCTGGTTCACCCTGTGTTCACCCTTCCAGCTGCACCCGCTGTGCAGGGCAGGCCAGCGCTCTGCATGGAATTGGCCGCAGCTGTAATCCTAGGACTCAGGACTTCGAGCAGTGTTGAGCGGTTAATGACACCTGGCTGTTAAGAGTCTCTCACTGGTGTGCATCATTCGCTAGCCTTGATCTCCTTGTTAGTACAATGGGGACAGTAACAGAACCTGCTTCAGGGCTGTAGTAAGGAGTAAATTAGAAAATTCATGTAAAGTGGTTGGTTTAGGACCTGGTACCTAGTAAGTTCTCAACAAATGTTAGCAGCTATTGTTGATGTTATTATTTTCATTCAGATCAGTATTTTTTTAAAATTAGAGTCCTGCCATCCTCACAGAAAAGCCCTCCTAGTGTCAGTTCTGCACTGGGGATCTCGAATGTACACTCACATCTGCAGTGTAGCCACAGGGGCAGCCAATGCACAGCAGGGATTTCTGGTTTCACAATAAAACCTAATTTCTATTTAAGAAGGCCAAGTTTCCCAGGTAAAAGATTATTTACAATTTACAGGTGGTTTTGGAGGTGAGAGGGGAACAAAGAAGGAAATGAAGGTGTCTGAACAGCAAGGGCAAGGAGGGAAATGAAAAGCAGCAAAGAGTAAGAAGGTGAGAAGGAAGCACCATATCAGTACTCAGACCAGGTGCAGGTGCTACGTAAGCAGCTGTAAAGGTGCATACAGCCAAGAGCAGGAACCAGGGTGTGGGGATGAACACCCCAACAAAGAAAATTTCTCCAATGTGGAGAAATAAAGAATCTGGGAAGAATTAAAAAGTGAGTAAAAAGGCTGGTTAAAATTGTATACGATGTTTTGCATTCTTGATGTACCTTTTAATTTTAAGCAAGTATAGCACTGCCTCTGTGGCATTCAAATGGATATGAAAATTAGCTGTGCTGTT